TGGGGGGGAGGGAGGAGAGAGAGAGAGAGAGAGAGACTTGTGGGGAATTCTCTTCCCCCCTCTCTCCCCCCGCATTCCAGAGAACAGAAAAAACTTTTGTCCTCGGTGCACTGGCCGAGCCATATGTCCAGGATTCATGGCAGATCGAGCAGCCTCTGAGGCCCAGGAAATGCTAGGGCAGCACTGGTGCAGCTGCTATTTTAGGGGCCACCTGACATCAGTGCCTCCCGGAGCCCGCACCCCAACCCCCCTCCCATGCCGCAACCCTCTAGCCCAGCTTGGAGCCCTCTCCCACACCCAAACTCCTTCCCAGATCCTGCACTCTACACCCCCTCCTGCACCCCTTGGCCCCAGCCTGGCACCCCCTCCTGCACCCCAAACCCCTCATCCCCAGCCCCAACCCAGGTGCACCCCCAGCCAGAGCCCTCAATCCTTCCCGCACCCAAATCCCCTGCCCCAGCCCGGTGAAAATCAGCGAGTGAGCGATGGTGGGGGAGAGCGAGCGACGAGGAGCGGGGATGGAGTGAGCAGGGACAGGGCCTTGGGAAGGGGCAGGACAGGGAGCGGGGCGAGGGTCTTTGGTTTTCTGAAATTAGAAATTGGCAAACCCAGGCCTTGCGGAATGGCCCATAAGTTGCCAATTTGGTGCCTTCTGCCCTGCATGTCAGCTGTGACCCAGCCACTGTCTTATAAGACACTGCTGCAGCCCCAGTGCTCCCTCCACTGCCCCAGCACCTACCTCGCGGGTAAGACGAAATCCATTCTTTGCTGAGTGATACTTTGCCAATGACATCATCGTGCCTGCAAGGAAAGAGAGCCAGGTCTGGGCAAAGAGTGCCTTAAATTAACTGCCCTGCACGGCCAAGGAGCAGGGTATCCAGGGGCCAATCCACCTCAACGGGCTTCTTCGCATCACCCCGGCTGTTCAGGGAGGGATTCATTCCCTCCGCGCTTTGCTCTGCACAGCTCCACCAAGAAAACCAACTGTCCAATGTCTATCTACGGCCGTAGTTACAGTAGGGAGCCCCTCACTGGAGCATCAGAGAGCCTATCCTAGAATCTCAGGGTTGGAAGGGACCTCAGGAGGTATCTAGTCCAACCCCCTGCTCAAAGCAGGACCAATCCCCAGCCTACATCTCCTGAGGCCCATCCTGTGCCTTGTCCACAAGGTCTTGGAAAAACCAGCCCTGGGAAGCAGAGAATTCCTCCTCCATGGCTGTTCACTCGTGGGCTTCTCCCACAGCCAGCCCTGAGGCAAGCCAATGGCCCAGCCAGCCCCAGGCTCAGAGGCCCAGACTGTGGAGGAGCCCTCGGGCGGGGGATGGGAGGGGGTATGTGAGGGAATTAGGGAAAGTAAATACAGGACTAATCCTGCTGCCTGTCTGCTGCTGAGTCAGCATGGCTGGCAGAGGGGCCAGCCCCAGGGAAAGGAGGGGCCAGCGCGTGGCACCAGAGCCCGGGGCAGATCCACTGTTCCAAGCAGAGCCTGGCTCAGTAAGACCCACTGCCCTTCCTTAGTGCTCTGAGCCCCCGCCAGACCCAGGGTCCTGTCCAGGCCCAGAAGCAGCCCCCCATGCCCTCCCCAGCACCCTCGTACCCAATGGTGTCCTCATCCAGCACGTAGAAGGCGAGACTGTGGAAGCCCATGGGCAGGTGCAGGGTGTACTCCTCCCCCCAGAAGGGATTCAGGTTCTTCCACACGGTAGCGGTCCTGCAAGCAGAGCACAGGGCGGGTGAAGTCAGTGCCAGTGGCCGGGGCCACCCCCTGCGAGAGGCAATGAGGCTTGCAGGAGCCGAGCCAGCATGGCGGGTCGTGGAGCAGTGGAGAGGGGCTGTGAGAGGGATCCCAGCTGGTGGACCCAGCCGTCACCGTGGGAACTACAGGCTCAGTCTCTACCCCTGGGGGGGCCTCTGGGGCAGATTTACTCTGCTGCTTTATCCCAAGGGCTTTGGAAGGAGAGGCAGAGGCTCAGGCCCTGCTCAGGGATTCCATCCGGACCCCACAGCTCCAAGAATCAAGAGCATGTGCCACGCACGTGGACCCCACCAAACGCACAGAGGGGGACGCAGCCCCTGCTAGAGGCATGCAGCGTCCACTGATGCACAGAACTACAGCCAACACACACACCCAGCCAAAGGGACGTAAATGTCACCAACAATCAGTCACGCAGCTACTGCCAACACACAGCCCCCACCAACACACACAGCCACACAAATGCCAATGCACGAGCACACGCACCCAGATACTGCCAACATGTACAGCGCCAGGCGCACACAACAGTCCTGGCACAGCCACCCAAAGGCTGCCCAGCCCATGCAGCATCACAAGCCTGCCATATTTGCCAGAGATCAAACCCACCCAGCCGGTAAGGCACGGCTCAAGCGAACTCCAGCTCCCGGTTCTGGCAGTCCCACTGCATGCTCCCTGTGCGGTATATCTCAGAGCCTCCTTCTCTACAGCAGGCTGCTGGCCCAAGGCACGCATTGCATGTGGCACACACCCCTTGGGACTTCCAGACCTGGGGCTGGCGTTTACTGCTGCTTCGTTCCAGCGTGGCAGGGGGAGCGTGAGCTGGGGAAGACTGTAAAATCACCTTTGCCACGCCAGCGCCTGTGCACCCTCCCCACCCCAGTTCATAGTTTCCTGGGCCCAGGAGAAATCCTCTCATCTCAGTCTCTCTTCAAACCCATCTGAATGTCTTTGAGAAGCAACGGCAAGGCCCTGATACCCAAGGAAACCTCAGCACTGGCTGGCTTCAGTGCCCTCACCACACTACTGTCAGTCCCAAGTGGAGGGAAGGGGAGGCAGCGAGGTGGATGCTGCAGTTGGCTCAACCCCACTGAAAGTAAGAGTAAAACAACAGAGTTCAGAGCCTCTGCAGCAATTTCCAGCAGCAGGGAAGCACCATTATCCCCATTTTACAGATGGGGAAACTGAGGCACAGAGGGCCAAACCCATCTGCTGTGGTTCATGAAAACACAGCCAGGAATTAATGTAGCCCAGAGAGATTAACCAACTTGCCCACCACAGCAAGTGGCTGGCTGAGCTGGGGCTAGAGCTCATGACCTCCCAGCTCCCCCTCCCATTTCCCAGCGCTCGGGGATGCAAACTCAGAACAAGCAGCTCCAGAGCCTCTCAGCTGGCAAAAGGAAACGCTGTGCTCAAGCATTCCAGCTACATTGCATGTGGGAGCTGCAAGAGGGATCCCCCCAGACTGTGGGCCCCAGGAGCTGGTCTCTGTGCTCAGAGCCCCTGGCCTGGAGCAGGGGAGCCCAGTCCAGCTAATTAAAGAGGGCTGGGCTACCCTGGGTCTACAAAGGGCGGCTAGTAGGCAGCTGAGAGGGAGGACCAGGGCCGGTGCTACCATTAAGGCAGACTAGGCGGTTGTCTAGGGCGCCAAGATTTGGGGGCACCAAAAAGCGGTGCCCCCAATTTCTCCACCGCGGCAGCTCCCACGCCACCCCGACCTGGGGAGTCGTGCGGCAGCTCCCCACCGCAGCTCACCTCTGCGCCGCCTCCTCCCCGAGCACGCCGCCCCCACTCTAATTCTCCTCCCCTCCCAGGCTTGCGGCGCCAAACAGCTGATTGGTGCCGCAAGCCTGGGAGGCGGGAGAAGTGGAGCAGCGACAGCGTGTTTGGGGAGGGGGTGTAGCAGAGGTGAGCTGGGCTGGGGAGCCCTGCGGCAGCTCCCCCCCCTGCCCTGAGGCACCCCTCCTTCCCCACGGCAGCTCCCGCCCCCCAGCCCGGGGAGCCGTGCGGCAGCTCTCCACCCCAGCTCACCTCTGCTACGCCCCCTCCCCAGGCATGCCGTTGCTGCTCCACTTCTCCCGCCTCCCAGGCTTGCGGCACCAATCAGCTGTTTGGCGCCGCAAGCCTGGGAGGGGAGGAGAATTAGAGCGGGGGCGGCGTGCTCGGGGAGGAGGCGGAGCAGAGGTGAGCTGCGGTGGGGAGCTGCCGCACGACTCCCCAGGTCGGGGTGGCATGGGAGCTGCCACGGTGGAGAAATTGGGGGCACCGCTTTTTGGTGCCCCCAAATCTTGGCGCCCTAGACAACCGCCTAGTCTGCCTTAATGGTACCTACCCAGTACATCTGCTTTCCCTACCACTTCTTCCTGCTGCAGGAGCTGAGCTCTCAGGCCTTGGGCGCAGGAGGAGATGAAGGCATCTAGCTCACGGCTGATTAGGGGAGCTGGCTTCCCTTCCTCAGTGACCTCATGCTGGAGATTCTGCAGCCTTGGGATCGGATTCAGGGGAAACCAACTGCTGCACCCTGCAGGGGGGAGATGCTGTGCTGGCCTCCAGTGGGTGAGCCCCACACCATGGAAATCCCAGTCCCCAACCTCATCACACGGAGCAAAATTGTCCTTTCCAGGCAAAGAGAGGAGCCAGCTGCCTGGCTGTGCATGGATGGAGAGCTTCCAGGAGATCTCCACGGTGCCCGAGCGAATGAGGAACGCAGCCTTGGTGCTGGGCCGGGAACAGACTCCCACTTCCAAAGGCCCGTAAATGTTGGATCCAGATTTTGCAAGCACCCCACCTCCCCGAAAGACATTCCTGGACTAAGCTTTCCCCGCAGACACAGTCCCAGTGCTGTGGCGGGCCACCTCCCTGGCCGGGATGTGGCGGCTCCAAGGAGCAGGAGGTGGTTTTCATTCTCCCCTGGCGTTATGAGCAGGACAAGGGGTGGCTTCCCAGTGGGGAGAACAGTGCGGTGGCAGCAGGACTGGCCATGAGCCGGGGCCAGGTCTGGGACTGCTCAGGAAATGAAAGCCAGGGGAGGGGCAGGGGAGTGACTAAGAAGAAGGGGAGAGACAGAGTGGAAGAGAAGAGAGGGAGGGAGATGTGCTGGGCTGTGTGTGAGGGACGATGGATGAAGCTGGGAGGACCCAGGCCCCTGACCCTGTATTGCTCTCCTGCACCCACCCCCACACCTCTGGCCAGATAGTTCCTCCCTCCCCTCCAGCGAGCACCCGGCCAGCTGGCTGGAAAGGGGGAGATGCTACCATTTCTCCAGAAGAGGGAATAATTTATGGACTTCTCCATTGTAACCACTTCATCACTGGCCGGCTCCAGAGCAGTGAGACTTGCTGCAGGACTTGGAGCACCACGGCAACCACAGGGGCAGGGTGGAGAACCAGAGGGGCAGAGGGGAGCGAGCCCAACCCGGAGGATGCTGCCCGGCCCCAGGGGATCATGCGGGAGAGTCTCCTCTGGCCAGAGAGCAAGCAGGGGGCTATGTGCAGCTGGAAACCCCCAAATCTTTAAAAAAGGGAAGGAGGAGGATCCGGGGAACTACAGGCCAGTCAGCCTCACCTCAGTCCCTGGAAAAATCACGGAGCAGGTCCTCAAGGAATCAATTATGAAACACTTAGAGGAGAGGAAAGTGATCAGGAACAGTCAGCATGGATTCACCAAGGGGAAGTCGTGCCTGACTAACCTAATTGCCTTCTATGATGAGACAACTGGGTCTGTGGATGAGGGGAAAGCAGTGGATGTGTTATTCCTTGACTTTAGCAAAGCTTTTGATACAGTCTCCCACTGTATTCTTGCCGCCAAGTTAAAGAAGTATGGGCTGGATGAATGGACTGTAAGGTGGATAGAAAGCTGGCTAGATCGT